TTGTCTATAGCACTGTAGAGACCACACAGCGGACTTCATGTACTTTGTCTATAGCACTGTAGAGACCACACAGCGGACTTCATATACTTTGTCTATAGCACTGTAGAGACCACACCAGCGGACTTCATATACTTTGTCTATAGCACTGTAGAGACCACACAGCGGACTTCATGTACTTTGTCTATAGCAACTGTAGAGACCACACAGCGGACTTCATGTACTTTGTCGATAGCACTGTAGAGACCACCACAGCGGACTTCATATACTTTGTCTATAGCACTGTAGAGACCACACAGCGGACTTCATATACTTTGTCTATAGCACTGTAGAGACCACACAGCGGACTTCATGTACTTTGTCTATAGCACTGTAGAGACCACACAGCGGACTTCATGTACTTTGTCTATAGCACTGTAGAGACCACACAGCGGACTTCATGTACTTTGTCTATAGCACTGTAGAGACCACACAGCGGACTTCATGTACTTTGTCTATAGCACTGTAGAGACCACACAGCGGACTTCATATACTTTGTCTATAGCACTGTAGAGACCACACAGCGGACTTCATGTACTTTGTCTATAGCACTGTAGAGACCACACAGCGGACTTCATATACTTTGTCTATAGCACTGTAGAGACCACACAGCGGACTTCATATACTTTGTCTATAGCACTGTAGAGACCACACAGCGGACTTCATATACTTTGTCTATAGCACTGTAGAGACCACACAGTGGACTTCATGTACTTTGTCTATAGCACTGTAGAGACCACACAGCGGACTTCATATACTTTGTCTATAGCACTGTAGAGACCACACAGCGGACTTCATATACTTTGTCTATAGCACTGTAGAGACCACACAGTGGACTTCATATACTTTGTCTATAGCACTGTAGAGACCACACAGCGGACTTCATGTACTTTGTCTATAGCACTGTAGAGACCACACAGCGGACTTCATATACTTTGTCTATAGCACTGTAGAGACCACACAGCGGACTTCATATACTTTGTCTATACGCACTGTAGAGACCACACAGCGGACTTCATATACTTTGTCTATAGCACTGTAGAGACCACACAGTGGACTTCATGTACTTTGTCTATAGCACTGTAGAGACCACACAGCGGACTTTCATATACTTTGTCTATAGCACTGTAGAGACCACACAGCGGACTTCATATACTTTGTCTATAGCACTGTAGAGACCACACAGCGGGACTTCATATACTTTGTCTATAGCACTGTAGAGACCACACAGCGGACTTCATATACTTTGTCTATAGCACTGTAGAGACCACACAGCGGACTTCATGTACTTTGTCTATAGCACTGTAGAGACCACACAGCGGACTTCATATACTTTGTCTATAGCACTGTAGAGACCACACAGCGGACTTCATATACTTTGTCTATAGCACTGTAGAGACCACACAGCGGACTTCATGTACTTTGTCTATAGCACTGTAGAGACCACACAGCGGACTTCATGTACTTTGTCTATAGCACTGTAGAGACCACACAGCGGACTTCATATACTTTGTCTATAGCACTGTAGAGACCACACAGCGGACTTCATATACTTTGTCTATAGCACTGTAGAGACCACACAGCGGACTTCATATACTTTGTCTATAGCACTGTAGAGACCACACAGCGGACTTCATGTACTTTGTCTATAGCACTGTAGAGACCACACAGCGGACTTCATGTACTTTGTCTATAGCACTGTAGAGACCACACAGCGGACTTCATGTACTTTGCTATAGCACTGTAGAGACCACACAGCGGACTTCATGTACTTTGTCTATAGCACTGTAGAGACCACACAGCGGACTTCATGTACTTTGTCTATAGCACTGTAGAGACCACACAGCGGACTTCATGTACTTTGTCTATAGCACTGTAGAGACCACCACAGCGGACTTTCATGTCTTTGTCTATAGCACTGTAGAGAACCACACAGCGGACTTCATGTACTTGTCTATAGCACTGTAGAGGACCACACAGCGGACTCATGGTACTTTGTTCATTAGCACTGTAGAGACCACACAGCGGACTTCATGTACTTTGTCTATAGCACTGTAGAGACCACACAGCGGACTTCATAAACTTTGTCTATAGCACTGTAGAGACCACACAAGTGACAGCTTCATACTCTGTGGCAGATGAGTGGCAGATGTCTTGATGTTTACCAAAACAAGCAGGTCTGCTGTTGTGCTTATCAAGGGCAGATTCAATGTAACCTAAATAGGCAGGATTAAGATTGAGGCAGCATTGTTCTACATAGCTAGCTTCCCATCTAGCTATATCCATTAAATATTGTTGCACAAAAATAGACACAAAAATGATGAAGCTTTGATTGCTGTGAACAAATTCATGATGTTTTTTTCAAATGATAGTTATGGCAAAACAAATAAAAAAGATCATTACCTCCCAAAAGGATATCAGCTAACAACTCTGTAGATGAGAGCCACACGCTTGACCTGTATTCAATATAAGAGTTCCTAATGTCTATATGTTTATGTGGAAGAAGGCAACAACAACACTAAAGCCACTGCTCCTGGCTGGTAGTCTTCCTCTCAGTGGATGTGTCTCAGCTGGAGACTTTAAGGTGCTAAAAGGCCAGAGAACAGCACATGGGAGATTCTTAGCAAGCCTAATTGAATTTCTGAGAGCGTGTGTGTGAGATGTCTCAGCCGGCTGGCCTCGTCCTCCCCAGTCCCCTCAAGATCTCTCGCTACAACGCTCCGTTTCACACACTGGCTGGGCGATGTCATACACTCTTTTCTTCCTCATTTGAACCCATCCAACTGTGCAAAGGCCAGATAGATTTATAATATAACACCTTCAGATCACACTGAAAGCAGCACTGTCTGTGGATACAATCAGAGAATGGGTTACCTCAGAACACTTTACTCCCGCTCTGAACTCAATCCTAAAAGACTGAGGCTCTGCTTCATTCCAAACATGTGGTGAATCCAAGTCTCAGATTTCAGAGCATACTTCCAAAACATCCCACTGAAGGGGGGGATATAAGAGCATTACTAAAAAGGTGGAAAAACACATTCAAAAATCTCCAACACTATCCTCCTTTAAAATACAAAGCATTAACAGTCCTCTGGGATTTAGAGTCAATGAACCAGTTTTGTAGTTAACAAAAACATATGTAATGGAGCCCATATCATGGAACATTATGTATTTATTATAAAAAGCCTTTACTTTTGCCCAGCAGCAATTATTACTTAACTGTCCAAACTACAAAATAAAACTGATCGATATATACCTTCAACCAAAGACAATTTGTCTCATTTTGATATTTGAGAAGACTGAGGTTTGTTTTGAATTATTATGTACATTTTTTAATAAGAGAATTGACTTTTCCCCAACTGACGGCTCATAAAAGAGAACTGAAATGAAATGTATAATATTTAGTTCAGGTAGAGCAAAGGGCTGAGTATGTATTACATTCATTTGATATCAACACTGTGATGTGAGAGTGGGTATCTTCTTTGATCTATGATATGGTAATATAGCATTAGTATCTTTCCTGGTCTGAAAGTCTGAATTACAGTCAAGTGAAATTATATTCTGAATTTATTCTAAATGTTGCCTTAAACCACTTAGTATTTATATCCACGTTCCAAAAACGTTATTGTATTTCTTTGTATTTATACATGTAATTGTTAATGTCACTACTAATCGGTACAGTAATACCATAATAGGGGTGGGGCTCTGTTGGAGCGGGTGGGGTGTTGTGTCATTTGGAATGTAATACTGTATTGTACTGATCATTGTATCGTATGTGTCCTTAAAACCAATAAAAAAGACCTTGATCAAAAACATTATTGTGTAAACATTTAGTGAAAGCATGAACAGTCAGCCCTACAATATAGTTGCCATGTGGCCATGTGCATGGAGGCATGATCCGGCTCCAACAGAAACATGATTGTGATTAAGCTTTGTATAGATGTATACCATGTAGACCACCAACATAGGTGTGGAGATGAATTCATCTGGAGACATTTGAATATTGGTCAGAAGAATAACCAATAAATGTGTTCCTCAAAGTCCTTCAGCTCAATTCTTATTGAATGAAGTCAAAAGAGCAGTAAAGTCAAATGACCCTTTTGAAACCTATTCATGAAATCCCTCTATTTGGATGTGTTTCTATTAGAAATGTTTTGATCATGTAATCAGCCCTCTCAGCAGAGCGCTCCTCTTCCTCCGTGCCTCTTGTTTCCTGATATTTCCGAATGAAGCTGCTCTGGATGAGCAGGTTGAAAGATTGTTATCTTGCCCTGCACATCAGTCTGAACACGGACCATTTAAAGGATTACATTGTATCAAGAAACTGTGAGGAAGAGAGGGGGGGAGGAGGAATTGGCCAACTTCCAGACAATGTCATCTACAAGGGATTCATACGATGTATTATCAGACAGCCTGAGGGAGGGGAAGCTGCTTTTCATTCCTCTTCAGTTGATGGAACATGTCAAGAAGGGCAAAAGGTGTGAAGCTAATGCATTATGTCAACATTTCTGTATTCTATTAGGAATGTGTATTGAGAGTGGAAGTGAGAAGAAAATACAAATAAATGACTGCCTCTGCAAAGAATACAATCAGTACATTTGACAGAATTAAGTCTGAAAGTCTCAGCCCAAGTCCCGGCCATTTCAGGTTCAGATCAGGCCTTAAATCTTTCTACCATTATTAAAACATTTCAGTTTTCTTTAAAACATTCCCTTTGATTATTAAAATGACAATGACACATGGAATGCATTCTGAAGAAGGTGTTCTTTTCTTGCTTTATCTTGAACCCCTCCTCTTCAACAAATACCAAAGTTTATATTGTAAAAATGACCATGATTCCTTTGTAGGTGCAGTTAAAAAGGGGAGAGCCCTGAGTTCAAGTTGTTCCAGGAATGATATGATCATACACAGAACGGCATGTTGAAGGAAACATTAGAGAAACTGAGCAGGATAGAGACCCCTACCTCTTTGAAGCATGGTGAGGGGTTGCGCATCTGCTCCAACATGGCCCATTTGACCGAGGCCTGCCGGATGTTGCCGTCATACTCCCGGGAGCTCTGGGTGCCACTGGGGGTCCCGCGGGAGCGCTCATACCCCGGCTCGTTGAAGTAGGGCTCAGCCACCAGGATGAGGGACTGCACCGACACCAGAACCTACACAATTTAAAAACAGGGAGGGAAAATAAATGATGTATTGGAAAGCTTCAGGATACCTACTGGTTAGAAAGTTCAAACAGCAGAACAGGAAGTCATTCCGTTTAACTCCCCCCTCAATACACTGACACCAGGAATAACTTCACCATCAAACCCTTATACTATGCATTATCCTATCTATCATTATCTACATCTTATTCATAATACACCACTGTATTTATTGTAATGCACATGCAATATATAGTGCACATTTTTACCTCTAAAGTTGATATAAATATCTTAATTTTTCTAATATTTCTAAGTTCATATGCATATTTTGATTATTTTGTATTTCATTTCAATCAGCTGACCTGAAGCATGTTTATAAAAATCTCTGTTATAATTATAATTTTTTATGTAGCAACTATTACAAAACCTACTTTTCCCCAAGAAAAATAAAGTATTCTGATTGAAGAAATGATGATTGCCTATAGAACCCTACACACTGCTATGAAATGCAGCTTGGTCTGGTTTCCAGAGAGCTGGTGTAAAACCACATTGTAATTCATGAATGTGTCCCAATGGTTTGGTGTAACCCTGATCCTTTGGTAATTACACGGACACTCAGAGTGTCTTCCACATCTAAAGCCGCATCTTCAATATTCTTGGCAGGGGTGGACTCTGACAAAAGCAAGACATTTTTTGGAAGCAGAAAGATATATCCCTGAATATATCGATATTAACAGCACGATTAATGTCCGTCTCAAGGAGAATAAGGACGCCGCCCACTACATCACAAACAAAGAGGACCTGGCAGTGAAGGCCGACCAGCCTTCTGGAGCTGGTTGCTGTGCTCCTGATAATGCTCCATCAGGAAGATACCAGTGACTTTCAACTGTGGTGAGCCGTCTGTCTTAAACTGGGTTGCCAGATATCAGAGGCAATATCCACCCTTGTTGATGACTGCCTGCTCCCAGCCTACTCCCCTGTCTCCTATTCAAACCCCCTTATTTTCCCATTATTGATCCCCAGCACACTAAATGAAATGATAATCAATGAAGACATCTCTATGCACTCTCGAATCCTGCAAAGGAGGGATCAATTTCCAAGGGCCCTGCTCGCTATAATGCAAGTGTGTGCATAAACCACACATTACATTGCATTTAGCTGACGCTTTTATCCAAAGCGACTTACAATAAGTGCGTTCGACCAGGAAGACACAAACTTGAAGAAAACAGAATCATATAAGTACATCAGGTTTCATAGAGCCAAACATTTCAAGTGCTACTCAACTGGCTTTAGGTAATCCAGTCCTTTATTAGTATAAAAGTGCTTCGTTAATAGTTCTATCGCTCGAAGTGGAGTCGAAAGAGATGAGTTTTCAGTTTGCGCCGGAAGATGTGTAAGCTTTCTGCTGTCCTGGTTTCAATGGGGAGCTCATTCCACCATCTTGGAGCCAGGATAGCAAACCCACGTGTTTTTGCTGATGAGAACTTGGGTCCCCCTCGCAGCGAGGGGCGCAACGAGTCGTTTGGCTGATGCAGAGCGGAGTGCACGTGCTGGGGTGTACAGTTTAGACCATGTCCTGGATGTACGAAGGGCCAGATCCATTCGCAGCATGGTAAGCAAGTACCAGTGTCTTGAAGTGGATTCTAGCAGTTACCGGAAGCCAGTGAAGGGAGCGGAGGAGCGGAGGAGCGGAGTGGGAACATTTAGGAAGGTTGAAGACCAGACGAGCCGCTGCATTCTGGATGAGCTGCAGAGGTCGGATGGCACATGCAGGTAGACCAGCCAGGAGGGAGTTGCAGTAGTCTTGGCGTGAGATGACGAGAGCCTGGACCAGAACCTGAGTCGCTTTCTGAGTCAGCTGGAGACGTATCTTCCTGATGTTGTAAAGCGTGTATCTGCAGCAACGGGTTGTAGCAGCGATGTTTGCAGTGAAGGACAGGTTGTTATCTAGGGTCACACCCAGATTCCTTGCAGTCTGAGTCGGGGAAACAACTGAGGTGCTGATGTTGATTGTTAGGTCAAGAGTTGGACAATCTTTTCCCGGGAGGAAGAGCAGCTCAGTCTTGTCGAGGTTGAGCTTGAGGTGGTGAGCAGACATCCACTGAGAGATGTCAGCTAGACAAGCAGAGATGCGTGCGACGACCTGGGTCTCTGAGCGGGGGAAGGACAGAATTAAATTGGGTGTCGTCAGCGTAGCAGTGGTATGAAAAACCATGCGGGCTAATGACAAACAACGCTCTGTGTGAATGTCATCGTGCTGCGTTCAAGAGTTTGTGTTCATCCATACCTCAGTGCTCCACTAAAGATAACCAGTCGTTGCTCAATCCTTTACATTATCTAAGGCAGGGGTCGGCAACCTTTTTGATATTTGTTATCAGCGTGCCGACGATCGTGAATTATCAACGGGGGGGGGGGGGGGGAGCCTTGCAGCGGGGAAGCAGTGTGTGGACGATCGTCCGTTCTGTGATTCTCCAGAGCACACATGTTATGATATTAGGGTCATGCAGAGTGAGATGAGATCGATGTCCCTTTAAGAGAGAGAGAGGGGTGTGGCGTGTGCATGTGTGTGTGTGTGGATGGTAGAGCGACAGTGAGCGAGCGTGTGTATGTTTCTGGAAGTGAAACGAGGAAGCAGAAAAACAGAGGTCTGTGATGTATTTTGTGAAACAGAAGAACAGCTAAATAAATGCAACGGCCTCCCAAGAAGAGCTCGCCTCTCTCCAGTCATTTAAGCTAAAGTGGGTTATTGAACCTGACGCTTGTTGCTTCTGCCCTGGGAGACGACAGAGAGTCACCCCCCTGTTTCCTCGACTACGGTCTGGGAGCCGACAGGAAAGTTCAACACACAGATCCGCCCCTTTGTAGCATATTATTTCGATGAGCAGATCGCCACTGGGCTTTCAACTAATAAAAAAATTAAGTAATAAGTAAGTAAATAACAGGGTTCTTACACCTTTTCCCAAGTCAAATTCAAGCACTTTTCAAGCATTTTAAAGGTGCATTTTCAAGCTTTTCAAGCATCTTACAGCTGTTGTAAATTACATATTTATATACACATACTTATACTCCAATGATTATTTCCCCACCTCACATTAAATCAGATGTTCTTTATGCTATAAACAACCAAATGTGTGTTTCATAATAGCATTCTACACGAGGATGAAAAATTAAAGAAAAGAAAACTAAGTGTAATATTTCAAAATGAGTGATCTGTACGTAGACTGGGCCTCCCATATAACCTGGCTGAGCCAATATACAACAATCAGCCAAATAACTTTTCAATACATTATTGGTTACTATTTTTGAGGTACTTTTAGGTTGGCAGTGAACATAAGTCAGAGGTAAATGGTGTACTTCTACTCCTCTACATGTATTTAATACCTTCAGTTACTTCACAGATGTGGATGAATGATGTGAAATATAATCAAGTGTTAAATCAGACTTTAGTTCCACCTGGAGTAAATCCACAAGCTACCCTGCAGTATACAAAGTCATTCAAACTAGCTGCACCTTTACCAGCTTTGAGAACACTTTCATGATCAATCATTATAAAACATATCATATATATTATTCTGAAATGGACCAATCTGCACAACGACTACTACACACTACTTTTACTGTCGCTACTTTCACTAGATTTGGATGAGAATACTTTTCTACTTTTATTTGAGTGACATTTTTATTGCAGGACTTTTACTGTAACAGAGTATTCCTACTTCTACTTTTACTCAAGAACAAGACCTGAGTACTTGTCCTACCTCTGTCTAAACATTTTGAATGCAAAACTTTTACTTGTTTACAGTACTAGTATTCCTACACTCTGGTACTTCTACTTTTACTCCAACATCTGAGTACTTCTACTTTTACTCAAGTACAACATCTGAGTACTTCTACTTTTTTGTATTAGTCTGAATTGTAGCCACAGAATCACGCAGAGCAGCATAAAAATAGACTCACAATGGTAACAAGTGGAAAATAATATTTACTAATGTGTACAATGATTTGTAGGTAATTTTGACTACTCAAGAACCTGACTTATACATCTTCCAAGGAAGACTGTGTTCATTCTACAATTACATGGGATTAAAGCAAAATGTAGTTTTACTTGTATAATACTTCAAGATTTTATATAAAAGCCTGTTTCTAAAAGTATCAACCATAGCGAGCGACGCGGTCAAATCCTCAGTTTATAATTTATAACTAACAACATACTAACAAGCTGTGGTCTAATTACGCAACCAAGTAGTATGTTTCGTGCCTGCGTCTTTTTGTCCGGTCGGGTCTTGGAAGACCCGAAGCTGTGTGGTTCATAAAAACATGTTCTTACTCAATATCAAGCCACCATTATTGTTTTTATTTTAAATCGTATAATGTCGGGCTTTTTTTGCCGCCTGTGGGGAAAATAAATGGGGCTCAGAGCCTCAGAATACTGAAATCTGTATATATTTTGTTCCTTCAAATTTGTTATCTCCATCGAAATCAGTCAAAAGTCGCAACGGCTCATTTAAAAAATAAACGTGGATTTGTGTAAAAAAAACTAGTTTTTCAGGATTCGGGTGTTTTGTTTGATTTTAAATAAACAAAGTCCTGGCTTTCAGGACATGAAACTGTTATTGCCAAAATCTCACGATAAAACATTTTTGAAGCTTGTAAAGGGAAGAAGAGGCATCTCTCAATTCACACCCTGCTCTTCCGCGGCGCCGCTCCCCCTCCCTCCGCTGAAATTATGAAGTAAAGGCATACGCCGTATAGTAATCATAGATAACACGACAGGGTCCGGGACAGTTTGGTTTCAAATAAACAAAGTCTTGGCTTTCAGAATATTAAACTTGTTTCGGCAAATGCAGATGATAAATACAACTTTGAAGCTTCGGCATAATTACAAGCGGAGAACGGAGTCATTTAATGTCACAGCAAGCATAACAACAGCCGGTGTTTCTTGTGAGTGTTTCCCCGGTACACAAACACACACACAAAAATACACAAACACACACACACTCGCAAGCTTCCCCCAGACCAGTAATACAAACGAAAATGTGTCTTCGGGTCAATGTGGCTGATTTCGATAGAGCAAGTCACATTTGATTTAGGCACGAAACATAGGCTACTACCAGTAGAAATACATTGCTTTCAAAATCGCTCTGTGTCGAATCAATAGATTATATTTCGTGACTATAACACGAAATGCCGTGAGTGCTTCATCCTCTGAACACCACAGGATGGAGACTGTAACGCACATAACATAGGTACGCTCCTCTGAAATGATTGTCCCCTGCAATTATTATTATCCCTCATCGAGTTCGCTATTCAGCTAGCTAACGTTAGCTTAAACAAACGTAACATGCAACGTTAGCCTAATCTAAAATGCTCTATTTCTAAATTCCTCTGTGGTGAAACGATCAGCACTGCACCACGGAGGAAAGCGGCAGAAAGTCGCCTGGAGTTAAAGAGAGCGGGGCTGCGTTGAGTGCATGGCTTCCTTCTGCAGGTAACGGGGAGACGCGCCCTGGATACGAAAATACAATTTTAAATATTTTGGTTACGGTGCCTCAAAGACTTTAGACAGAGGTAGGACAAGTACTCAGGTCTTGTTCTTGAGTAAAAGTAGAAGTAGGAATACTCTGTTACAGTAAAAGTCCTGCAATAAAAATGTCACTCAAATAAAAGTATAAAAGTATTATCATCAAAATATAGTGAAAGTAGCGACAGTAAAAGTAGTGATTGTGCAGATTGGTCCATTTCAGAATAATATATATGATATGTTTTTTTTTAGGGCTGTCAAACGATTACAATTTTTAATCAGATTAATTACAGCTTAAAAATTAATGAATCATGATTAATCACCATTCGAACTATGTCCAAAATATGCCATTTCTTTATGTATATTGTTGTGGGAATGGAAAGATAAATGAAAGAAGGCGGATATATCCATTTACAGTGTTGGGACTAACGCGTTACTGTAACGCCGTTATTTTTGGCAGTAACTAGTACTCTTAAGGCATTACTTTTTAAATTCAGTAACTCAGTTACCGTTACTACATGGTGCGTTACTCCGTTAGTTTTTTTATATAGTCAACAGCCAGGCGAACAGAGATGAGATACTTAAGTACAGTACTTGAGTAAATGTACTTAGATACTTCCTGTGTCACATGCGGAGACGCGCTGTGGGCGTGTTTGTGTTGTTTACTAACAAGACTATCATGGCGTCGGCCACGGTCAAAGATCCTATCTACTGCCCAAACCAGTCATTCAAATCTCTTAAAACATCTGCAAAAACAACATGCTGGGACGAAGCTAGTAGCTAAGACCACAGAGACTCAGCCGACGCCACTCCACCTCCACCTAAGCAACAGCGGCTGGATTTTAACCGAGGGACTGCTAGCCAGGGAAAAGTCGATAAAGCCATTGCACGGTATGTTGTAGAACACATGCAGGCTATTGCTACAGTGGAGTCACCCGCTTTCAGGGAGCTAGTTAGCATGATACCATGTCCGGGCGGCACACGGCATATGGGACGGAACACTTTTTCCAACTACCTGGAGAAAGAATATACAAAAATGGAAAGCCAGCTAATATCGATGCAATCCAGATTGCATATAATGCATGTGAAGATGATCAACAGATTGTATTATTCTCCAATGCAATAACAGTACTGAAATGAAGGCTATAAGGGCATTCATGGGAGACATTTTTTCAAGTAACTAAAAAGTTACTTTTAACAGTAACGCATTACTTTTTGGTGGAAGTAATCAGTAAAGTAACTGAGTTACTTTTGAAATGAAGTAACTAGCACAACACTGTCCATTTAACATACAGTATCTATGTTTATTATAAAAATTTTCTGCGTGTCAAAATGAAAGACAGCACACACACCTATCAATCATCAAACCGTGGGGTTTTAATTCATTACGTGTTGATTTCTATCAACGGAAAGGAAAGTCGATGGGGGGGGGGGCTAGTGGAGTACTTTGTGACCACAGAGTGTGAACGTTGTGATCAGCTGTTTTAGCGCAGTTCTCCAGTGAAGGGGGGGGGGGGGGGGGGAGTCTCCCTCCGCAGCCGGTTGGCGTAGTTTTGGCACAATTCCGTTGTACAGACCGACGTTAACAGCAGCCTGTCTGTGCACACGGAGAGCGACTCTGTCGTCCGGTGATCTAACCGCCTTCTGGAAAAGCTTCACAAGTACGTCGGTACGCAAATGCGCTTTGTGACACAAGTGACGGTACGCATTTCAGATTACGCACATAACCTGCGTACCAGTTATGTGCACCCCTGTACTACAGCAAAAGTATTCTCCGTCGGGACTTCCTGCAACAACACCACGCCGTTATCTTGATTCTGATTGGCCAGAAGACATTATCAAAGATGTTCTATTGAGAAGACGATCACTACGTGACAAAAGTTTTCAAAACCGTTTCTGGTCTTCGGTATTTCCAGACAAGTGGCTACTGAAATCAATCTTACTAACTGCTGTCTGTGCAATTTACTCGGCGCGAGTTGGCGGACTTTATTTTGCTTACTTTAACCCCAGCCATACCCTGGTGCTGCCACTGGTGGCACGTATGGGACGGGCCATTCTGCACATGCGTTAAATGCGTTAAATATTTTAATGCAATTAATTCAAAAAATTAATTACCGCCGTTAACGCGATAATTTTGACAGCATTAGTTTTTTTTAATGTTTTTTATAATGATTGATCATGAAAGTGTTCTCAAAGCTGGTAAAGGTGCAGCTAGTTTGAATGACTTTGTATACTGCAGGGTAGCTTGTGGATTTACGGTGGAACTAAAGTCTGATTTAACACTTGATTATATTTCACATCATTCATCCAGATCTGTGAAGTAACTAAAGGGATTAAATACATGTAGTGGAGTAAAAGTACACCATGTACCTCTGAACTGTAGTGGAGTAGAAGTACAAAGTAGCAGAAAATGTAAATACTCAAGTAAACTACTGTCAAAATTGTAATTAAGTACAATTACTTAGTTACTTGGTACCACTGGCTTTATATTTTGTAAACACAGATTAACTAGTTTTTTTACAAAATAAAAAACATTAGGAAAATGTAACATTTGGCAGTTTAACTACAATGGGTCTTGGTTATCTTCACAGCTATGTATCCTCCATACGGCTTAGCATTTTCAGGATGAAATGTGAAAACAGTCTGCAGAATCAAAGCTGAAAACGAGGCGTCTTGGCTGAACATGCAATTGAATCCTTCTGATCCCGAGTCCAAGATGAGTGATGTGTGTGTGAGCGGGCATGGCTCCCAGGTTCAAATGATAGTGGCTTGTGTTTGCTTTGATTAACACCCACACACTGTGGCCAAAGCAGAGTGATAACTCGGCTTTAAAAGGGATCCTTCATGTCAGCTGTTGATCCACCAGGCCCATTAATACAGAGCCTGCAGCACGGTAGTGACAGCCAGAGATGAAGTGCAGCCTGGGACACAAAGACTCTAACAGCCTGCTGACCCCCCTGACAGCAGGCCTGATGAATCTGAGGCTCACCTGTAAGAAGCTCGAGGTCTGAGGGTTCCACTTCTCCTCTGGTCTCCCATGCCATGTGTTGAGGATACTTAAACATACCTGGTTGAAAAAAAAGAAATTAATTTTAGTTATACGTTTTTTTTGTTCAACATGACATATCTAAGGGGAACAGCTCCATCAATTGTTTGATTACAATTGAAATGTACATATGATCAATGCCATTATTTTGTAGAGTATTGAAATGTATTCAGTAGATTCTTTTTTAATATATTGTGTACTAGATTAGGGCTGCAACAAACGACTAATTTGATAATCGATTAATCTATCGATTAATGAAACGATTAATAGACTATTTGGACTATTATGCCTTGCACAATTTCTCAAACGCTCTTATTTAGCCATCAACTTTTAGATTTAGCTTGAGGTTGTTTTAGGCATGTGGAAACTAACAATGAAGACAATAAAGATTAATACTTGATTCAAAAATACATATATTATTAAATTAACTAAACACATTGTGAACAGAATTAACATTGCTTTTTATTTAAATATAATAAATAATATTTCTCATCAAAAGAAACAACAGTGTTTTAACAAATCGTATTAAATAATGTGATAACATAATTGTAAACAGAATAGCTGAAACTTTAACAAACTAAATAACTCAGTTACCTCTAATCATTAACCCATGTTTGTATCATTGAGTTAACTCCGTGTGTTGCTGCTAGCTAGTGCTGTAGCGACGCGTCGACGACTTCAAAATATCGTCAATGACATATTTCCGCGTTGACGCGTCGCCACACACACGTGGGTCACCAAAAGCAACAAGCAGTTCGCAATCGCACTTCAAACACAATGGAGACTGAAACGGCTACCACCTCCTCCTCACAGGATTGCGCACGAAGCCCCCAAACGAAAACATCTCGCCCTAGGTCTTCAAAAGCATGGGAATATTTTAAAGTTAGTCCAAAATGCAAAGATATTTATATATTTATATCTCACTGAGACTGCTGCATAGCCTAGCAGAAGCAGCAGCTAGCTGTGGTGGCTACCATTAGCAGCTAGCATTTGCTCTCCGATTTTGTATACATAGACGTTAAAAACCTATGGATTAACCGATTCAGCCGCGTTTTTTCTCGTTTTAATGCCATTGAACACGTCTTTTGATCAGATTGACAGCTACGGTGGTGAGACGATCTCCCTAGAAGCTCTGTGAAGGTACGTGTTGTGATGACTGTATTTGCTTCCCCTGTCGCGAGTCCGGATCACTCAGTGATGATACTATATACCTACATAATCTGTGGAGTCTCAGCTTTAATCGGATATATTGTATGTGCAGCTACGATAAGTAATAAGGGTACTTTTATCTTGAGTTCTGTGCCAATGTCCGTTAGCATTTTTCGCTCAGGGGTCATTTAGATGCTTCTTATGAGACTTGTGTTTTGTTTTGGTAAACATGGTTTGTAACGGCAGTCAGCTGAGATTATTTCCGTTAATCTGGTATAACACATTAATAGGTTCTTAAATATTAAGATCCCCTGAGACACAGTATCGTGAAAAAAATTGTTTTACATTACCTTTTTTAGGAATTGAACAACAGAAAAATAATCGTTAGATTAGTCGACTAATCGATCAAATAATCGCCCGATTAATCGTTTTCAAAATAATCGTTTCCCCCCAGCACTACTTAGCATACATAACACCTGACGTGGAAACGTTACTCCTGGATGGGGCTACAGAGCTACTAGAAAGACAGTCGAACCCGGTGCATTCCTCCGTCTGAATGTGGAGCACTTTTGCTAAATGTTTAGACAAATTGCTCGTGTTACCGCCCTTACATGCTAAACTCTTATTCCACTTTTGGCAACGAGTATTGTCCACATCGAGACGGGTAGAGTTGAACCACACCTCGGAGCGCGTTCTCTCCGCCATCTCCGCCGTGTGTTGCTGCATGTAGCAGCCGCGTGTGTGTGTGGCTGCATGTAGCAGCCGCGTGTGTGTGTGGCTGCATGTAGCAGCCGCGTGTGTGTGTGGCTGCATGTAGCAGCCGCGTGTGTGTGTGTGGCTGCATGTAGCAGCCGCGTGTGTATGTGGCTGCATGTAGCAGCCGCGTGTGTGTGTGTGGCTGCATGTAGCAGCCGCGTGTGTCTAAACTGCCCCGCCCCCTCGCCCACAGATGGGGGGGGGGGGGGAGAGATCTTGTCTGGATTGGAAAGATCGAAAATACACCATAGACGCATTTCTTTGTCTTTTTGCATATTAGAAACGAGTTGGCGACACTAAAACTGCGATATAATGTTTTTGTAGCAATAATACATATGACATATTTTTTAAATGTCTCCAGTATCGATAAAAAGACCGATAACGTTGGAGCTTAAAGGCGTGTAAAACACACGTGATGACGGCACCAACGAATCGACGACTGAATTAGTTGGCAACTAATTAGGTCATCGATTTTAATCGATTAGTTGTTGCACCCCTATACTAGATAAGCTATTGATATATGTCTTTTCTTTTGTGAATTTGTATATACTTGCTGCTATTGTTAATTTGTATTATATTTGTATACTATAAATATGTTTAACTCGTGTAATGACAACACTGCTGCTGTGACAAAATAACTTCCCAATTTGGGATGAATAAAGGATCTATCTATCCATCTTGATTGGACTCAATATTAAGCTTTGACGCCAATTATGGCGCATTTCCACTGCAGGGCCTCGCTCGGCTTAGTACGGTATAGTTAGGCCTGGGTAGGCCAGGCTCACTTTATATTGCGTTTCCATTACAGTTTAGTATCTGGGGCAGTAACTATAGTAACGCAGTATAAGCGGAGCCGTGACATCATCTTCAATGAGAACCAAAGAAAACCAACATCAGCCGTTAGCTCTTAGCACTCAGAGCTCACAGCTCTTCATATCTGTTCAGAAACTAGACAAAAGTTAAACAAGTACAAACCACAGACTGCCTGTGTCATGGCGAATACAGTCGCTGGTTTATTTATGTCTGTATTGGCCGTTGTTGTGAGTGTGGACGGTCGGAGCATATACTGCTCCGACATATACATTATTGAAATGTGTGCGGAGTGTCAGCGGCTGCCTGATGATGAGCCACAGATGTGGGGGGTAACCTTGACCCCAACTACTCAATGGAAGAAAGCCAGGTCCAGAGAGGGAGAGCTAAATATGTTCTAACATCGCAAAAAAAGAACTCTGGAGGGATGTCGTCCAAATGTCAGCTTTAATTTAAAACTGGACACCTGACAGGGATGCTCTTCAGATGTGCTGGGTGAGTTTGACACTTCTATACCATGTTGGGTTCTTGATGGACAACTATCTTTTTTAGCCATCTCACTAAACACGGAAAACTCATTTATTTCAGAAATGTCATTTTCTTTGCAGTCACTACATGTATTGCAGGTTTGATTCTTTATTTGAGAAGATATGACGCTACACGGAAATGACATCATTTAGGATTCTACTTCATGTAAAGGACTTTGTTCCTAGATGTTTTATACTACATTTTGAATTTGTTGTATATGTTTTTCCTGTTTTTTCATCTCAGGTTAAATGGAAGTGAGTTTGAGTTGTGTAGTTATACCCATTTCTAAATATGAAAATGAAGAAATAATTTTTGTCATTATCATAAATGTTACCTTGGATCATTCAAATCTAAATAGAAGACTACATTTCTGTTTGTGATTGATGATTCAAAATTATGAAAGGGTTAATAAAAACAAATCCATCCTGTTCTTGATGATGACACACACTAACAGACTCACTAGCTGGTTTCCACTCACTTTGCCATCATTGTAGAGGTTAGGGTTAAAGCGCACACTGTGTCCCCCGGTGGTCTCCAGGTTGACCAGAGGGGGGGAGTTGGGGTAGTCTTGGGGGAAATACACATCAAACTCAAAGCAGCCGTTGGCGTACGGTGTGTCGGCTGGGCCTGTGATGAGAACCTGAAACACAGAGGAGAGGTGATGAAGAAGAAGCACTGAGAAGGTTATTAATCACACTCATGGAGAGGGGCTTCATTAAAGAAAGGTAGACACACTGATAACAGGAAGTACAAATTAAATGAAGTACAAATTAAATGAAGTGCAAATGGCAATATATCAAGGTGAATTAGTTGCGACTCTCTCTCAGGCGTATTCACGGCCACAACAATGTGATTAACAACAGGCTAAAGGGTGAAATTAGCAGAACGAAAGAGACCGGCTCTATCTACACCTCTCCTGGCATGTGTAGCAACAACTATTTGTTTCATGAACAAATGAGATAAGCTCATTAATCAAACAAAACAAACACACTTAAAACGTGTCATAAGGACATAAATGCATATGTTAAATCAAATAAGCTCCATCCCCAGTATATTATTGTATCTAATGATTGAACCTTAAGCAGAAATAGTAAACAAGCCTTTAAAAGAAACTGTAGGGCTTTGTTATAGCTGCAGTATGAAGTGCTGCTCTGTCTGTGAAGCAGCTGGGGGTGCACCACAAAAGATGTTGTTTCGATTAGTCAATTATTCTAACAACTTATTAAACGATTGTTTTTTTTTACAACTCAATCAATACAACAATTTATTAACTATATTACATCTTTAAAACTGTATATATATTATTATTTTAATATTTGATTCAATTATCTTTCGATATCTCTTCTTTATCAAACAAACGTTACAAGATAATATAACCCTACTTGTCATATGCCTGAACAGAAAAGTACTGGAGCACAGTTTAAATGTAATATATTATATCTTTGTATTATACAACAACAACTTTTTCCAAGACAACCTAAACTTTAGTACTACAGGCAGTGGCTTGAGACTAATGGCGTCTTATTGACACATAAAAACATTGAATTTCAATTAATTTTGTTAGTTCCTAAAGCGAGAGAGTCTGTCTGCGCGCCCTGGAGTTTTCTTCTCTCCTCTACCTAACAGCTGTTTGCTGGCACATCCACATCTGTCTTTCTTGTTACCCAAACACCCACACAGTACACATCAGTTGAGCTTTTGTCAAAATGTATTCATTAAACTCCCTACGATGCGTGCAGGGGAATCACCCTATTTTCTCCTTGTTAATGTTAGCTGCCAGCATCCGAGGTGCATTCAGGCTCTATTTAGTAAAAATGTGTATTGTGAATGTAGAGTTAAACATTATGATGTGTTTAAATGTAATCTTTTAAAATGAGTTTTTTTACAGTTGTCTGAAGAATATATTTTCATGGCAATATAAAATAGATGTTAGAAAGGTGAATTATTACTTGTTAAACTTCCTAAAGAAACAATATTCAAACAGAGTAAGTGAGATTATGTAGAATTAATTGGGATTCGATTTTTTTTCAGTAGTATGAAATGGGTATTGAGAATTCCTTTTGAAGCAGCTGCTACAAAGCTGTTTTGTCCTGGCGTAAGGATGCAGGGGGGGGCACAGGATGCGCTGACCCTCACAGATCAGGAGATTTCCACCTCATCAGCTACTGTTCCTTTGTGCTGATGCTGCTCCTCAGGCCATGCTACACTCATGGAGAAAGTGAGTTTTAGTTGGTGTGTATGAACGTATTTGCAGAAGGAAACAGTGCACCGCTGTGACAGGACTCTTGGCTATGGACCAAGATCCTTCCTTTTATACCAGCTTGGTGCTCACAGTAAGTATAACATATATATACACTGCCCGTCCAAAAAAAAAGTCACCACCTGGATTTAACTGAGCCAATCTGGAAGAGCCTTCCATTGGATAATTACTGCAGAGATGCACATGTTTCAGCTGGCAACAAGTTATTTAACCCCAGCTGATGTGGTGTTTAGCTTCTCATTTCTTAAACATCCATGTCGGAAGACAAGGACATTAATCAGTTACAAAAAGATCAAATGATTGGCCTGCATCAAGCAAAGAAAACAACTAAGGAGATTGGTGAAACTACTCAAATCAGGGAAAGAACTGTCCAACGCATTATTTAAAACCAAATCAATGGATCCAGATTCATCCTGTTCCAGAGTGATGAGTGCATCAGGGTAAGAAGAGAGGCGGATGAAGTGATGTACCCATCATGCCTAGTGCCTACCGTACTGTGGGGGCAGGCTATGATCTGGGGGTGCTGCAGTTGGTCAGCTCTAGGTTTAGCAACGTTATGTTCCCAAAGAATGAGGTCAGCTGACTTCCTCAATATACTGAATGACCAGGTCTAACATCAATGGAGTTCTTCCTCCCTGATGGCACGGACATATTCCAAGAGGACAATGCCAGGGGGGCTCACATAGTGAATGAGGGGTTCAGGGAGCAGGAGCCCTCCCTTCCTCACATGTTCTTTTGGCGAAACGGAGCTAAGAGATGAGGATTTTGACATTAAGCAGGAGAGACTTTGCCATTAATCAACGTGTGGGTTGAGAGCCATTAATGAAATGTCAGTGGGGGAATGAGTATGTCATGGCCAGTTGTAAGTGGAAACACCCGACGCAGTAACACAGTCCACTAGAACAATCCAAACCCTCTAGTTCTTAAACTAGTGGTCTCTATGAATCTCAGTACAAAACCCTGTACACACCAGCAAAACTATGACATATCCATGACTTTATGACAATTTGAAGTGGTATTTTACCTTCATGATGTCCAGCCTCTCTTCATCACAGCGGACAAAGACGCTGGAGGAGGAGGAGAGGGGCAGGGAGGTGGACAGGGTGACGGCCTCCTGGGCCAGGCGGCGGGATCGGGCGGCGCTGTTGGTGTCGCTAGCGTTCTTCACCTGAGACATGTAGTGGTAGTTCACCTTGAACATCACCTTCCCATCGTCGTCCTCCGAGACCATCTCAAAGGTGTCTGAAGAGAGAGAGAGGCCAGAGTGAGGAAGCTCTCACTGCTGCAGGAATGTACTATTCTCCTCTCAACTAAACCTAAAAACATCAGTACTGCCTGTAAACACTTCAAATAAAAACTTCAAAATATACATTTATATTTTTAGCCATGTTTAAATGAATTGTTAGGACCACTTATTAGAAGTTCTTCTTTCCTTCAGTAGTAATGGAGGGACGAAAGGACATGTAGCGGTTAGCTAGTTATCTTGCTAAAATAATGTAATATTGCTGAATACCTTTTAAAGCTGAACAACATTTTGCTTGCATTTGCTACAAAAAAGGCTGTTTTACTGGCATCACTAGATGGACAGCATGCTAGCTAGTTGGTTCTGTTAGCTCTTGCTCTAACATTTTCATTCTTCTGTTATACCAGGGTCAGCTCTAGAACAAATCAAATGGGGGGGTAATCATTTACCACGGGGGGGGCACACACTGCCGTCAACAACCAACACACAAACACCAACGCAACTTCAATTTCAAAACATGCTGTAAAGTCTCTTGTTTTCACACACATTGCAGGGTGTAGTGCTATTGTATAGCGCACCTATGACTTGTGCATACATGCACGGTTGTGGCACGACCACCAAAACAGAAACATATGGACATAGGCCACCATATAAAAAGTGTGCAAATGTATTTAGTATCTGTGACACCTGTAGATGACCTCATCCACGACCTGAATGGAGCTGTAGTATTCTCCAAGCTGGATCTGAATGCTGGATACCATCAACTTGAGCTACATCCAGATTCAAGGTATATCACCACCTTCACTACACACACTGGCCTCTGGAGGTACACCAGACTGAACTTTGGCATTAACTCTGCCGCTGAAGTGTTCCAAAATGTCATTCAAGGAGTGCTACATGGCTACGTCAGTGACATGAATGATGACATCATTGTGTATGGGAAAACACAAGAAGAGCACAACAGTAGCCTCAAAGCTGTTTTTCAGAGACTGAGGGAGAAAAATATCACACTCAATGGCAATGCTGATAAATGTGAATACAGTAAACCAGAGCTTGAGTTCTTTGGCTATATTTTCTCTGCAAAAGGCATATCTGCAGATCGTAAAAAGATCACTGCCATCAAGAACCTTCCTCCACCCCAAAACGCATCAGAGGTTCGCAGTCTGCTCGGGATGATAACATACTGCTCACGTTTCATTCATGACTATGCCACGATCTCTGAACCTTTACGTCAACTAACAAAAAAAGACACTACTTGGTCATGGGGACCACAACAACAGTCGGCAATGGAGAGGCTAAAATCAGAGCTGATGGAAAACACTACAATGGCTTACTTTGACCCAAGGAAGAAATCCAAACTACTGGTTGATGCCAGCCCTGTTGGTCTAGGTGCCATACTCAGCCAGCACAGCCCTGACAAAGAGGGTAATGACCACATTCTCAAACTCAACTGTACAAATGAGACTAAAGTGAATAAAATAATTTCCACCTTATCAAATTCTAAGGCTAAAGACCACTGGGGACTAGACACAGTATTTATAAAAAAACATAAAAAGGACTTAGTTAGCTCCATCACCTATATTACAAATCAATCATTAAAAGATAATACATTTCCATCAGCTCTTAAAACTGCTATTGTAACACCAATTTTTAAATGTGGTGACAAGAAAGAAGTAGGCAACTATAGACCCATCAGTATTCTACCTGTTGTGTCCAAAGTAGTTGAAAAAGTAGTCGCGGAACAGCTGGTGTCACACCTAAGCTGCAACAACATACTCCATCCTATGCAGTTTGGTTTTAGGACCAATTATTCTACTGAGACTGCATGCTGCTATTTAATGGAAGGAATCAAGGCTAAGTTAGACAAAGGAGGGATAGTTGGAGCAGTGTTCCTTGACCTGCGAAAAGCATTTAACACAGTAAACCATACCAAACTTTTATTAAAACTCAACAATTTCAACCTGTCAGTTAGCACAATACAATGGGTCAGGTCTTATTTAGCTGGTCGTTCTCAATGTGTCCGTATAAATCAGAGGTGGGGAACCTCCGGCCCCCGGGCCGTATACGGCCCGCGAGACAATTTGGTACGGCCCTCGAAGTAATTTATAAACACACGCAAAAAAGAAAACAAATTAAGAAATCTAGACCGCAAAAAAATTAAACATGTGAGTGCCTGTTTTTCCTGGCCAAGGTCAGGGTCCATGAACACAACACAAGCCTAACGTGTCATCACGTGGTATATGTCTCGTCTGACAGGGGTGCAGTTCTGACGGAGAGCACCAGAACGTGGCTCGGCACTTCAGATAAGGAGCCGCACATGCCGCAGTTTTTGCGTGGCTGTGTCTTTAGTTGTAAGCCCGGTGGCGATCTGTTCATCTGTCATACTGATCATACAGTCAATAACTTTGTTGTTATTAGCATCTGGTTAGCTAGCTATGCTAACGAATATAAGAAGCTTTTTCTCCAACCAGTGAGGTAAAGGCACATCTTTATATGATCATTATAGTTATAAAAAAATAAGAGAATAAAGTAAACGGGTATAAAATACTATATGACAGTAAAAAAAAAGTTGTTATTAATAAACAAGAATACAGTTTGAAAGGGGAGTGATTTGTAAAATATCCATAAAGAAAAAGAAAATCTGCTTACAGTTCTGTTTCATATGGGTGTTGAGAGATGTATCCATAGATCTCTTAATGTTGCTCTCAAAGTGCACCAGATTGATGCTTTTAACTTCAACATTTAAAAAAAAATGTTCCTGGGGGGGCATGTCCCCGGACCCCCCTAGAGGAGGTTAGGTCCCCCCCCCCCACTTAAATCATGTCCACATGGATAGGAAACTAAATAAATTTGCACACATCTTGTGTCCATATCTTTCTGTTTGGGTGGTCACGCCACACCGTGCACGTGCATGCATGCGTGAGTCATGGTAAGATATCTGGATTAAGAGGTTGCTTTTTCTTTGCACAGCATGAAAGAAAGGCCAAATGAATGGGTTGTGATTTTAGTATTTTTAAGATGAGGTCAGTACGGCCCTCGGAGGATGTTGAAAAAATGTAAATGGCCCTTGAGGAAAAAGGTTCCCCACCCCTGGTATAAATGATAAACTGTCAGAAACTAAGCCATGCTCAATCGGAGTGCCACAAGGCTCAATTCTTGGACCGCTGTTGTTCAGCATATATATTAATGATCTCCCATCTGTTTGTGAGGATGTGGACGTCCAGATGTATGCTGACGACACGGTGGTTTACACTCATGAGAAAGCTGCTGAACAGGTTGCCTCTAGGGATGGGTATCGTTTGAAATGTATCGATTCCGATTTCGATTCCGGTTCTGCTTATCGATTCCGGTTCTTATCGATTCCCCGTTTCGATTCCAAAATTGTAAAATAAAGAGGTCAAACGTTTAGATAACAAAAATATATTTATTCTTAAAAGCTTTAACTGAAATCGTTACTAAAAAATATACATGCAATACAAATGTATTGCACAATAGCTGTGCTTTATTTTAACTGAGCTATGCCTGTGGCAAGTTATTAACAGGCATTATACTTTGCCTTTTCTTTTTCTTTTTTAGTGTAGTGGAGCCTCACTTCAGAGTGTTTACCGCGACCTATCTTTGGTGTTATGAAGTGACTGAGCTCGTGAAATGTCTACGGGAGGGCGGGGGAGCATCGCTGCGGGGCAACTGTGGACCTCTGTCGCCTGTCAGCGCAATTTATATGATGCCGTTTAAAAAAATGAAGGGCGGTACCGGGTCACCGCAGCACCGCGGTGCAGACGGACCCGCTGGAATACAGGGTCTACCGCGTTTAGGAACCGTTAAGCAGAACCGAAATTGTGTATTTTGTATGGGTACCCGGTACCCGGCATTTTCTTATCGGTTCTCATCTGGAACCGAGTTTCGGTTCCCAACCCTAGTTGCCTCTAAGCTCTCGTTGACGCTGCACAAAGTTGCTCAATGGTTAAATGACTCGTGTCTTACTCTAAATCAGGGGTCACCAACCTTTTTTAGGATGAGGGCTACTTTCAAAAAATAAAACAAGTCGGGGGCTACTTTTACTTTTTGTTTTGTTTTTTGCAGTGTATATATTTAGCACATTTTAACATTATTATATGCTGACCTTTAACCTCTGTGTGCTGTTTGGGTCTGTGGGACCCGTTTCCAGTGTTTACTAAAATAACATGTATTCAATTATTTTAACCTGCTTTATTTGGGGGTGGACCTCACCTCCTCTAGGGGGGTCCTCACCTCCTATAGGGGGGTCCGGGGGCATGCACCCCCGGGAAGATTTTTTTTTTAAATGTTGAAGTGAAATGCATCAATCTGGTGCACTTTGAGCACAACATGAATTTATGGATACAGCTCTCAACACTCAGATTGAAAGGAGCTGTTTACTTTTCAATAATCCAAACATCTTTAGAATATGATCACAACCAATAACAAATCATTTATACTTGTTTATTCTTATCTTATGTTACCTAGTTAGCATTCTTTCTTTTTATTTATGCATATTTTACTAATCACTCCCCTTTTAAAATATGTTTGTACTGTCCTATTGTACACATTGGAATGATTTCTTACTTCATCTAAAAAAACACACACACACACACACACACACACAACACACACACACACACACACACAAACACACACACACACACACACACACACACACACACACACACACACACACACACACAGACACACACAACACAACACACACACAACACACACCACACACACACACACACACACACACACACCACACAACCACACACACACACACACACACACACACACACACACACACACACACACACACACCCACACACACACACACACACACACAACACACACACCCACACACACACACACACACACACACACCAACCACACACACCCACAACACACACACACACACACACACACACACCACCACACACACACACACAGTGTGCTCCTCCGTGGCGATGACGGCTTGCGTTAAAAAAAAAAT